TTTAATTTGGACAAATACAGCTGGTGATTTAAATGTTAGTTGTTCCATCGTTGACACCTTGGCTGTGTCTACACTGGCATGAATTTCCGGAACTGCTTAAAATGGAATACTATTCCGTTTTCAGTTTTTCCGGAAAAGGAGCGTCTACATTGGCAGGCTGCTTTTCTGGAAAAGGCCTTTTTCCGGAAAAGCGTCTGTGACCAATGTAGACGCGCTTTTCTGGAAAAGAGCCCCGATCGCCATTTTCACGATCGGTGCTTTTTTTCCGGAAAAGACTACTGGGCTGTCTAAACTGGCCCTTTTCCGGACCAGTGTACCAGAATAAAGACTTATGCCTGAGCGGGAGCAGAATAGTTTTTCCGGAATAGCGGCTGATTTTGTACAGTAGAGCGTCGGTGCTTTTCCGGAAATTCAAGGGCCAGTGTAGACAGCTCGCAGCTTATTCTGGAAAAGCGGCTGATTTTCCGGAATAAGTGGTCCAGTGTAGACACAGCCCTTATGTGCTTACTCAAATTCCGCATAGCTTCCCTGGCAATCAAAATTTCCAGTTCTCCATTAGAATGCATATAAACATCAGTACGAAAATCTCATACAAGTTGCAGTTATCCCTAGGGTATGGCAAATCGGGGCAACTCTGTCAAGCCCTGTACTTGGGGAGCCCTCTGGACCAGCATGATCGGCCAATATGACAGTCTCAAAAGTGACATTTGTCATATCTGCCCCATGCTCCAGACCCCCCTGAGAAGTCTCTGATTAAGCTGAAACTATGCAATTGAAGTTAAATAAAAAAATAACACGGCGAGTACAAGATAGCCTTCTATGTAACTTATTCCAGAAGTATTTCTAAAAATCTGCAATATTCTAAATTTAAAAATATAATATAAGTTATATGGCCAAAATGTAAGCTTTTATTAAAAGCTGTGTATAATATTATAGTCAGACATATTTTTTTCATCTGTCTTTTGTTTGCTGGATAAGGAATGTTTTCTGTGCCATTCATTGTTACTATGAAATTCTGGAAGTCACTTTTTTTTTTAACATAATACACAGATATTGTTTGTGCTTGCTTTTTCCTTTAGTCACTTAGACTTTGTTTTACCTCTAGGTATTGTTTAATGCAAGATGCTAATAGTAGTATATATTACTTTTAAAAAATCTCATTGGTGTTGCTGTCTTAATGTATGAAGTGTACTGTATCAGCAAAGTTGAGTGTGATGTTTGGCTTTTAACAGCTTATATATTTTTCTTTCTTGCTATTTGAAATAAATGTCTTTATTTCTAAATAGTCCATTTGATATATGGCATGTAGTGAATTATCATATATTAATACTGTCTGTTTAATTCTAGATGTTTGTGGTATTGCCCAAAAAGTTCATCTTAAAAGCACTTCAGGATGTTTCTATTCCTTCTTTCTCCCAGAGGCTGAGTTGAACATCGTATGCAGTGTGCTCTGCCCTGATAATTGTTCTGTAATTATTTTAAAGAACATTTTTATGTTTAAGTGTTTGATTATGAAGAAATTTATCTTTTTTTTTTTTTTTTTTTTTTTTTTTAAACAGCTGCTTTTGCAGGAGTCTTACACTGGTAAGATTATTTTTATTGATTTATGGTCAAAATAAATAATGAGAAATATTACTGTTTTAAGACTACATGAAGCATCATATATAGAAGAGTAGATACTGATAAGCTAAAGGAGTAGCTAATTTATCCATTATCTTTGTATCTTAGTGAAAGTCCTCTTCATTAACAAAAAATAGTTCTGGTTTCGTGATTCTGGGTTTGAAAATTTTTTCCCTAAACTTTTTGCCAAAAAGCTAAGTCTCTGGGTGAGGTGAAGAATACTTATATGGCCTTGACCCTCACAGCCATATGTATTTTCACTGGCACTCCTTCCAGTCATCCAGTAAGTTCTGAGGAGCCCCAAATCCTTTTTGTCACCCAGTTAATTTTGCCCATGAATAAATGCACTAATTCTGTCTACCATTTAACCCCCTTTCAGGGCATCTCTGCTTTTGCTCTTTTGTGTGCCCAATAGGCTGTTGGGTTCCCAAATGTGCTTTATCTGAGAACAGTATCTGTAAAAAGGATCAGTAGGAAAAAAAAAATTAGCAACTCCAGCCGATTTGCTCCCATAATCCTTCTACTTCACTCCTAAAACTCTCCCCACCTCAACTAGCAGTATCAGGTGCTGTTTCTTACAGCTCCCTCTCCTAATAAAGCAACTGTGGCACTTGGGATGTTTTGTGCCTTTCTCCTCCCCTCTGTTCCAGAGAAGGAGCTAACCCTGTTCAGTTTGCTTGCAGAAGCACATTATATATTTGTTCTGGCAAGTGTTGTTTTTCAAGATCTGTACCTTTTCCTATAATTAAATACCATTTCATGTCCTCATACTGGTACATAATTGCACTTTAGTAAAAGACATTGAGCAGAAGACTTGCATAGGCAAACATAATGTACTTCCCTTTTATTGTAAGATTTACTCCACTTTTTTATTCTTTCCTTCCATTCATTAATTTGGTAGGCATATATCAGAATTTCCATCATTGAAGTTAGATTTGATAGTTTTAACAGCACTTAGTATTTGATCCCTGAGTTTCTTGTGCTTTATTATAAAATAGTCTTTATATATGTATTTGATATTTTTTTAAAAGTCCCTCTTTAATGGCTTGCAAGTGACAACTGTAGATTCATATTCTTTATTTCAGTTAATTCACTTAAAATGGATAACAAGCAGAGAATGGAAAGTAATCAACAGTATGACACCAGACTGAATTACAGTAGCTGTATTAGGTCTACTGTGTTTTCTGATGTGAAAATATTTACCAAAGGTTCATAGTATGTATAAATCAGTACTGGTTTTAAAACCTGAGAAGTGAAACTGAATAGGTTTTGTACATACAGGTGTCATATTACAACTCTTTTTGAAAATGACCGTCATTTTTCTCACCTGTCAACGTTGGAAAGAGAGATGGCTTTTCGCACTGAAATGGTTAGATCGTTTTTCCTTTTTTAAACAATTTAAATAAAAAGTGACATTATAGTCTTGAAATCTTTTTTCTGCAATAATTGATTATATAACTTCTAAAATTCCACAGCAAGGAAAAATAACAGCTACAAATGTTTTATAACTAAAATGTTTATATGTAATTTTGAGGTACAAATCTTATATAAAGCAACATGAAAATACCCTTTCAAACGGATTTCAAAAATATTTTAATAATAACTTAATGTACAATAAAATATATGAAATTTTAAATACCTTTTTTCTAACTTTACATAATTATTAATTAATGAAGGCCATATTTAAAATGTGAACATTTATTTCCATATGCCAATTCCTTGGTCATTTTGTTAATGAATCGTATTTTCTAACTTTATCGGACATTTTAAATTATCTTTCTCTAGTATTTTGTGCTTCTTTTGAGACAAAATGGAAGTTCTCTGAGTATTTTGGACAATTGAGTTTTGAAATGGTATTCACATGAGGAAACTTGGAAAATTGTGTAATTGTCCTGGTAGCTTTGTGCTAGTCTTTATAATATAGACCTTCACTTAAAAGAAGAAATTTTATGTAGCAGAATACAAAGGGCATTACCTGATTAATTTCTGCTAAATTATGCACCCCTCTAGGGTCTTTATTATTCCTATTTCAAGACGATTGTTGAAGCACCATCATTTTGGAATGGAATGTGGATGATTATGAACGATAAACTAACTGAATATCCTTTGGTGATTAACACGTTAAAAAGGTTCAATCTTTATCCAGAGGTAAGCCATATTTTGAAAAGATTACCTGTATCTATGAAAACTCTGTTTACTTTCTGAATAAAACACTAAGACATTAAACAGCGTGTTGAAAAGGGTGATATTGCTCTAAAGGAAAAAAGAAATGGTCCCTCAAATGTATATTTAATTGTATGATAACTTCTTAAAATTAGGTAGCTGCTATTAAATGTTTTTGTTGCTGTGTATCCCTCACTAATTTTCAATCAGGTTGCAGCCAATCAAACTATTGACATTTTTCACACCTTTATTTTCCAGTCTTCGGTAGCAATGTGTTTTCATTCTTCCCTTGCTTTCTTGTTTTTCTTGCTGCTACTGAAGAATGTCAGGTTGGTGATGCCGCTTTATCTCAGGGTAACCTGTTTTTTCACATTATCAACAGTTTCTTTAAGAAACCATTAAGGAGGCACCATTGGTGAGTAGATTTGTTGTTCACATGCACACAGTCTCAAAGCACCAAAGTTACTTGTAGGTTAAACATTCTTTATTTGCTTGATTCGCAAATCACTAAGTGAAGATTTTTCATTGGTGCTCTGGAGAAAATTAGATTCTGATCTTAATTCATAAATCATAGTACGACTTCCATTTTGAGAAGCAAATGCAAAACAAGGAATTCTTAGGGCACACTGCCTGCTTTTACTTTATATTTATTAATATTTGAAACTAAATCTTACATAAACCAACTAAATCAATCTTTTTCTGAATGTAGCTAAAATACACAAAAGGAACCTTATTCTTCATACATTTTTCCCCTCCTTGGGTTACAAAATAAGCTAGTGTACAACATTTACACACTATTTTGCTTACGTGTTAGAAAGTTTCTTTAATTCTGTGGCAGTAGTGCATTTTGACTTTCAAGTGACTTAGTGAAGAGGAACCTCCCTGGTGAAATGTGTATATTCAAACTGCAATTAGTAGTTAAAATGAAACCTGGTAAATATCCTAAATGAAGACAACAGTGGGTCAATCAGATACACCACATAAGAGTTTGAATAGGCTGCAGAGCAAGCAATGTAGATGAGTTTGTTTGGATCCTTTTAAAATCTTATTGGCATAACCCAGATCCCAAAGATTCATTGACAAAGCTACCTGGACCATGTTTAAGTATTAAGAGGCTATTGATATATTATTGACATAGTAGTTTTCCTACATCTAATTTTTCTGTTTCCATCAAACATTAGTCAAGTCATCTAAAGGAAGTCTTTGACAAGAATGTTGTTGGTGTTTAGTACAAGGTACTTGAGCTGGTAGTCTCCTGGGAGGAATGGTATATAATATTTAAAACTAGTTTAGCTCCTGAATGGGCTCAAGCATTTATTCTTGATAAGAGTCATTTAAAACTTAAATAGAATGAAATAACAGGGGCTTTCAGACAGTACTTTCAAAGGAGCCTAACTAAGATACTTAAGAACATAAGAATGGCCATACTGGTTCAGACCAAAGGTCCATCTAGCCCAGTATCCTATCTGCCAACAGTGGTCAGTGCCAAGTGCCCCAGAGAGCGTGGACCAAAGACAATGATCAAGCAATTTATCGCCTGCCATTCTTCTCCATCCTTTGACAAACAGAGGCCAGATGCACCATTCCTTAGCCCCTGGCTAATATCTTTTTATGGATCTAATCTCCATGAATTTATCCAGTTCTTTTTTTAAACTCTGTTATAGTCCTAGCCTTCACAGCTTCCTCTGGAAAGGAGTTCCACAGGTTGACTGTGTGCTGTGTGAAGAAGAACGTTCTTTTATTAGTTTTAAACCTGCTACCCATTAATTTCATTTGGTGTCCTCTAGGTCTTATATCATGGGAACAAGTAAATAACTTTTCTTTATTCACCCTCTCCACACCACTCATGATTTTATAGACCTCTATCATATCCCCCCTCAGTCTCGTCTTTTCTAAACTGAAAAGTCCCAGTCTCTTTAGCCTTTCCTCATATGGGACCCGTTCCAAACCCCTAATCATTTTAGTTGCTCTTTTCTAATGCCAAAATATCTTTTTGAGGTGAGGAGGCCACATCTGTACACCAATATTCAAGATGTGGGTGTACTATAGTTTTATATAGGGGTAGTAAGATACTCTTCGTCTTATTTTCTGTTCCTTTTTAAAATAATTCCTAGCATCCTATTTGCTTTTTTGACTGCCGCTGCACACTGCATGGACATTTTCAGAGAACTATCCACGATAACTCCAAGATCTTTCCTGGCTAGTTATAGCTAAATTAACCCCCATCATACTATATGCATAGTTGGGGTTATTTTTTCCAATGTGAATTACTTTACACTTCTCCTAATTCAATTTCATTTGCCATTTTGTTGCCCAGTCACTCAGTTTGATGAGATCTTTTTGAAGTTCTTCACAGTCTTCTTTGGTCTTGACAGTCTTCTTTGGTCTTGACTATCTTGGAATCTCGAGAGGTGTGCTGCTTACTGGGAGCACGCATTCAGGATGTCACTGAGAGGCTTACCAAGCTGATCAAACCTTCGGATTGCTACCCCTTTCTGCTTCTCCACGTGGGAACTAATGATACGGCCAAGAATGATCTTGAGCGTGTTACTGCGGATTATGTAGCGCTAGGAAGAAGGATCCAAGAATTTGGAGCGCAAGTGGTATTCTCCTCCATCCTTCCTGTTGAAGGGAAAGGACTGGGAAGGGATCGTCGAATTGAGGACGTAAATGCGTGGTTGCGCAGATGGTATCGCAGAGAGGGCTTTGGTTTCTTCGACCACGGGACTCTGTTCCGGGTGCAAGGATTGTTAGGAAGAGATGGGATCCACCTAACAAAGAGAGGAAGGAGCATCTTCGCGGGCAGGCTTGCAAACCTAGTGAGGAGGGCTTTAAACTAGGTTCGTCGGGGGACGGTGACCAAAACCCTGAGGGGAGTGGGAAAGTCGGATACCGGGAAGAAATACAGAGAGGAAGGGGCAAGAAAGGAGGACCCATGTTTCGAATGGAGAAGATAGGACGATCAACTGGTTACCTGAAGTGTTTGTACACTAATGCGAGAAGCCTGGGCAACAAACAGGAAGAACTGGAGGCCCTGGCCCAGACCAAGAAATATGATTTAATTGGGATAACAGACTTGGTGGGATGACTCGCATGACTGGAGAGCTGTCATGGAAGGGTATAGACTGTTCAGGAACAACAGGCAGGGGAGAAAAGGAGGAGGAGTTGCACTATATGTAAGAGAGCACTACAATTGCTCTGAACTCCAGTATAAAGAGGGAGAAAAACCTGTTGAGAGTCTATGGGTTAAAGGAGCAAACAACAGCATTGATGTTGTGGTTGGTGTTTGCTACAGGCCACCGAATCAAGCGGATGAGGTAGATGAGGCTTTCTTCGGACAACTGAGAGAAGCTTCCAGATCGCAGGCCCTGGTTCTCGTGGGGGACTTTAATCACCCTGACATCTGCTGGGAAACCTATACGGCAGTACACAGGCAATCCAGGAAGTTTTTGGAGAATGTTGGGGATAACTTCTTGACACAGGTGCTGAAGGATTCGATCAGGGGCCGTGCGCAGCTTGACCTTCTGCTCACAAAACTAATAGGGGAAGTGGAGGTGGGTGACAACCTGGGAAGCAGTGATCATGAGATGGTAGATTTCAGGATCCTGACCAAAGGAAGAAAAGAGAGTAGTAAAATACACACCTTGGACTTCAAAAAAGCAGATTTTGACTCCCTCAGAGATCTGATGGGCAGAATCCCCTGGGATGCTAACATGAAGGGGAAAGGAGTCCA